ATCTATCTTAATCTTAGAAGCATTACGTAATTCAATGTGTTAAAATATACATGCTTTTGTCACTATTACGTAAAACATGTTGCATGTTGCAGATATTCTTAAAGTGTGTTCATCTTGTTCTAACTCATTTACTAAACATCTATTACTTCTCGTAAAGAGAGAACAGTTTAGAAAATGAAAGTGTTATGTATAGCGTTGGTGGACAAAATTCGCTCGAGGCTCGAAGACAACAGTATGAGAAATACCGGTTCGGTGATATAAAAAATCTAAGGTAATAATACCCCGTTAGCCTCTATTTCATTATTACAAAGTATTTGTTCATGGGCGTCCTACAGAGAAATCGTGTTAATATTGTCATATTTAAATATAACTGAGATAAATATTAGAAATTTAGGAGAGTTTTGTATATTCTTTTGCGGGTTATGTTTTGCTAATACAGCAAATGTAATGTAAAATACATTGTCCAGACATTTGTTAAATTTATTTTTAATGATAATAATTTAGGAATTAATTATTACATTAATGTTCTATTTGTAAAAAATGATTTATTTCTTATATCTAATGAATGTGTTAAAATTTCAAAATTTTACAGAGAAATATAGAAATCATATTCTAATTGACTCTTGTTATGTAAACAATTAATAATTGTTACTTCATAAATAGTAAAAATGCTTAATTAAGGACGACACATTTCGGGAAAAAATTGCCAAAAAATTTGTCTTTAAGTTACAAAAAATAGAATATGTACAATGGAAGTAAACATAAATAAAATTGTTCAAATTCTGTTTATTCATTATCATTTAAATTGTGCTTAAATATGTAATATAACTTTTAAAACATGGTTAAATAACTTTTAAAACGCGTTTTTAAGACACTGTTACTGTTAACCTAATGTAATACATCTCCCGAGGGGATTTAAAAAATTCACCCATGTTTCCAATCGGAGTCGTGAAGCCGCCAAAAGTCGCTCCATATAGGACTTGTCGTGACTAGAGCCAAGAATGACGTCCTGGAAAACGTAAACTAGCAGCCAGGAGACGCAGAGAGCGCAGCGCGGAAATTGTAATTTTTACCTCAGTTTTCGAAGTTCCCCATCGTCGCGCCCAAAACCGCTCTGAGCAGTCATAAACCGTTCCAGGCGCAGTCCACACCAACAGAGGCCGATGTTATCCACAGAAATACCGAAAACGGCGCGCTGCAGGAACAACCAAAATTCACTAATCTTTCCTCCAAAGTTTTCGCCGTTGTTTCCAAAAACCACTCCGAGCAGCTCAGAACCACCCCGCCATAGCAGACGACATCGAGGAAGACCGACGCTATTGACAGAGCCGTTGTCAACGAGGCGAAGCTAAGGGTGGAAAACCGCTCCAATTCGGATTTCGGTCACCTAAAAGTTCCTCAAATATTATGAAGTCTGAACTGAGGACACAGAGAATGATGATTCATCCCTGCGCCCAGAAATCGAAAAAGCCGCGAAATTCAAAACGGAGATTGGTGCTGCACTAAAGCGGACCACGCAGCAGAACCATCTGCGGAGTTACCATAGCCTGTATACGAAGATAACACCGATCCACCACTAGTTCAATAACCAGCGCACGGATATCTGGCCAGTGTGTGAACAAGATCAAAATTTATATAGGGTGTAAATAAATAAGTGCGAAAAAATTCAGGAGGTGATTCCCTGTGGAAAATAAGGTGGGATTTTCATAAAAAAATCTCATTTGAATATCCCCTGTGAAGATATAACCGCTTAAAGAGGGTGCCAAAAAAGTAGTTTTTAATTTTTTTCTGAAATACCAAAAAATGATAGAATTGAAATTAAGTAGACATTTTCTATTGATAAGGCATTCAGTAAACAATTTGTTGATTTTTCCCTATGTTTGTAAGGGGTAGAAAAAGCCACCCCTAAAACTTTTTTCGTATGTAACGTTTTTACTTATTACTTTCTCTAGCAAGCAGCTGTCAAGTTGACATTTTGTAATGGTAACTAAATTGTTGTTAGAAAGGCTAGTTATTTGCTGATACACTGTGTTTATTTTCAACATTCAATAAATTTTCTATTAGTTTTTAATAATTTATAATATATATAATATAATATTTTTCACATATTTAAAAAAATTAAGTTGCATTAATTATAACAATTAAGTTAGCATTACAAAATTTCAACGTGATACACAGTTCGATAAAATTTCTGCCCTAAGCCAATCATGCCATATAATTGATTTTAAATTAATTACATGGCATTTATNTAATATTTTTCACATATTTAAAAAAATTAAGTTGCATTAATTATAACAATTAAGTTAGCATTACAAAATTTCAACGTGATACACAGTTCGATAAAATTTCTGCCCTAAGCCAATCATGCCATATAATTGATTTTAAATTAATTACATGGCATTTATATGGAATGCATTCCAAAAATGTATACTTTACTTATTATTTTTTGTGTAGATTTCCGGAAAATATAAAATTTTCAAAACGATTTATAAGTTTTCTGACTGAGAAGGCTTTGAAAACAAACAAACTTTTAACATTATTAGAAGCGTGAAATCAAAAATGATTCTTTACACAAATGAAGACATACAATTTAATAAAATGTTTTAATATAAGAATTGAAAATGCAGATATAACAAGGGATCTTTATTTTCAATTGTAGGTATTTATAATTGGAATTTACTAAAATTAACGTAATTCCTTTGACATGCATTTACGAAAAAATTACAAGATCCGTTTTTTGTTTAGAAGGAAAAGTTCGCATGAAACAAGTCTTAATTTAATTTCTGTCACTATTTTGGTATTTTAGAAAAAAATTAAAAACTACTGTTTTAGCATTCGGGATTTATTTCTATTCTTTTATTCATCAAATTCAATAAAAAAAATTATTAGTTCGTTGATATTTATTTTTAGAGGTCGCTCAAAAACATAGGTACACTACTTTGAATGTTAAAATAGTTATGAGTGACCTTTAGAAATTAAAATATCGATTTGATTTTTTAAATCTTTAACGCCCTATATTTCGAAAATGAAGCGTCTGGAAAAAAATTTATACTTGATTTTTTCTTATTTTTTTTATGAGGAATATCTCCTTAAAGTTTGTCGATTTAATCCTGAAACACCCTGTATATATTGAAAAATAAAAGGAAAATATAATTTATTTTATTTTATTACATAGTTTCCTGTTTTAGAAATACATTTTTCCCAGCGAGAAGGAAGGTTTTTTATGGCAGCATCGTAGAATGAAGTCGGTTGCGTCAGGAGCCAATTGCGCACGACCTTGTCATTTTCAAATCGTTGCCCTCCTAGTTTCTTTAAGCAGCCCAAATGAAAATCACAGGGCGATAGGTCCGGGCTATAGGTAGAGAGGATGAAATTGAGTCCAGTGCATTTCTTCTAATTTTGTGACCGTTAGACTACAGTAAGAGGCCAGGCGTTGTCGTAGGAGGATGGCCTTTCGAATCAGTTGGTCTCGTTTTTTGCGGCGATATGCAGCCTTCACCTCGTTCAACAGCTCACAGTAGTAAATATTATTGAGTGTGCGACGGTTATGCAAAAAATCGATGAGCAAAATTCCTCGCCGGTCGAAAAAAACTGTTGAAAGAACCTTGCCAGCTGACAGTCGAGTCTTGGCTTTCACCGGGGCTGCCTCCCCTTTCCTCTCTACTCTCTTCTAGCTTGTTTCGACTCGGGAGTGTAGTGGTGGGCCCGTGTTTCGCCGCAAGTGACGATCCGACTCAAAAATGCATCACCTTCTTTCGCAAACCTTGCTGTAAGCCTCTGATAGACCTCAAAACGTCTCAACTTTTGATCTGTAGTCAAAACGCGAGGGACGCATCTAGCACATACTTTACGGAACTGTAAGTCGTTTGTGATGACCGTTTGACAGCTCCCAAAACATTTTTCGACTTGTTCTGCAATTTCGGATACTCTCACCCGTCAATCGTCTTAAGAATGTCTCGAACTGCGCGAATATTTTATTCTGTAATGCCGAGACTGGCAATCGTGTTCCTGATTTTCCAGTTGTTCTTGTCTTACCTTAAATTCTTTATGCCAAGCAAACACACGAGTTTTCGATAATATTTGGTCCCCGAACTGTGCAGTCATCTCCGGAAAATATCAGTCGCTTGAACTCCTTCACTAGCAAGAAATTTTATAATTATGCGCAGTAGAAAGCTGCATCTATTATGCACATCGTGAGCGTTACTGACGAATTGGTTGGAGAGTGGAATGACCATCTCTCCTCACTCCTAGTGAACCTACTCAAACACACTAGAAGCGCGAGTCGAGTTCTAGCAGTCCTTCGGTCGGGTTTTGCTCTTAATTTTCTGTTATGCACAATGATTAATACTTCAAAATAGCGCCACGTGTCATAACATCAAGTTGTTATTCATTAAGCCTCTAATAGTTCAACTATTAAATGTTCGAAATCATTTGTCTTTGTAGAAAACTTTTCAAGGTTATCTTTCCTAGCGAAATTTTAAATTATATCCTTTCTGGGGATAAGTTTCCAATATTCTTTATTATATATTGCCGCGTTTTCTTTACAGTTATTCTGGATGCTAATTTAGTCGATTGGGTGAGATCTCCAGTAAATAAAACGGTTAATGTAAAATAAGATTTTACACAGTTTTTGTGATTTAATGCTTGTTTTAGAAAACCAAGCTCGAGATCATTTTGAAAGAAATTATTATTTCCCCGGATGAAGAGAGAGCTGAAAGGCGAACGTTTTGCAGACATTCCGGAGGTAAAAAGAAAATCGAAGGCGGCGCCGGCGCTGCAAGGCATCGGAAAGAACGAACGTTTCGCGAGTGGAAAAAATATTATATATATATATATATATATATATATGTTGTCAAGATGTTTCCGGGTTCCTCTCCGCGTATGGTTTTCTTGATTCTGGATAGAATCGTGTTCTGGACGACGTTTCGGCAAGATCACACTTGCCATTTTCAAGTCTTCTTTGTTCTACTTCGTGTAATACGTTGTGAACTGGTGTTTACCTGCTCTGCTGCTGCTTTATATATTATTTTCGCGTTCTCCTTCACTGGTTTTCGCCTCGGTTCGCTGCTCGTTGGTGCGTCAGATGTCATGCTTGGTGAAGCGTTGCGTCGCGCTCTGATGATTTTGTTTGCGAGAATCGGTTTCCAAGCTATTGGGAGCCTTTGTGTATCGTCACGTGTATTTAGATTTTTTGTATGTTTTTCGATTTCTATGGCTTCTCTGATAATTCTTTTGGTTTTATGTTCTATGTTGGCAATGATTCTTGTTTCTTCGAAATTGATTTTATGTCCGGTGTTTTTCGCATGTTGCGCCAAAGAAGAGGTTGCCTGATTCTTTTCTACAGCATTTCTGTGTTCCTCTCTTCGTGTTTGAACTCTTCTATTTGTTTGTCCTATGTATGATTTTTCGCAGTCGCCACAGGGAATCTGGTAAACGCCTTGACCTTCGAGTGGAATCTTCGTCTTCGCTGATGGAAGAATGTTGCCAATTTTCCTGTCGGTATTGAAGACAGTTTCAATTTTATGTTTCTTCAGTACTTTGCTGATTTTGTCAGTGGTTCCTTTTATATATGGAAGGAGTGCTTTGGCAACTGGTTTATCTTCTTCGGTCCGTTCTCTATTGTGGCGTGGTCTTAATGCTCTCTTGATGTTGTTATCCGAGAAACCATTTTGTTGAAGAGCTTTTTTAACTTTTTCGATTTCTTCTGTTTTGTGTTCGTTGTCAGTCAGCCTTTCTGATCGTGTTATTAGAGTTTTCAAAACAGAATTTAGTTGTGATGGATGGTGATGGGACTCGGCATGCAGGTAGCGATCCGTGTGTGTGGGTTTTCTATACACCGTGTAGCCTAAACCTCCGGTTCTATTTTTGATTATGGATACGTCTAGAAATGGCAACTTGTTATTTTCTTCGATTTCCATGGTGAACTGAATTTTGTGATGTATACTGTTGAGATGTGTTAGGAAGCCATTCAGTTTTTCTTTGCCGTGCGTCCAAATAACGAAGGTGTCGTCGACGTATCGTAGCCACATTTCTGGTTTATATTCGGCGGATTTGATCGCTCGTTCTTCCAGATCCTCCATAAATAGG